TTTCTTAAAGATGAGAAATACACTACAAAGTGGTTGAAAAGACAGCATTTGGTAACAGAACACCAAATGTTTCCCTACAGTGGGACACAACCATGAAGTATTTGGTAGAGTATCTGGGGAAGATGACCTTTCTAGTGGTTTGGGGTTTTTCCCTGGTAAATTCAGTGTGACTTGCCCACCTATGTCCTTTTAACTGAACTGTTAACTTTGGGCAGGACTTAAAGTGCAAAGTAAACTTCTCCAGCTTGAATGTCTTCTGAATGCAGCAGAAATATTGTTCAGATGGATACTATGCTCCTTCTAAATGGTTTTCAAGGGTCCAGCATCTGTGGGAAAACAACTGGAAGTAAAGCTGGTGGCATTTTTACACCATGGAGGTGTCCTAGAAATCTCACACTTTGAGCAATTGTTTGATTTATTGCTCTTTACTTGCCTAAATGAGCCACATATGATCAGTACATCCAGTCTATTCAGGTTCCATTGAAGTTACTGAATGTGTGCAAAAATAACTGCAGTGCCAGGCAGCCAGGCTGAGTCTTCTGCATTGAAATCACAGAACACAGCCCAAATTTGTGCCAGAGAAGCATATTATAGATGTATATGGCCCTGAAAGTAAATTTTTCACTTTGGGCTTAGGGACACTATTTATTTATTTGCATTTATTTGTTTGTTTTTTTGTTTGTTTTTAACACCCAAGAAATGCCCCAGCTTAATCTCCAAAATCTGCTTTTATAATCTAGAAAGTAATGCTCTTTTTATACCTGGGCAGGATGAAAGTGTTTCTGTGTAGCTCTGCTGTGGTCAAAGCACAGAAAGTTCTTTACTTATCTCAACACACATTCCTTGGTTTGAAAGGCAGCCCTCACTTGATGCAGGAAATAGTGACACAGATTATTTCCTAAGCACTAGCAGTCATTTATTAGTTACTCACACTGCTAGTTGTACATCATGTTCAAAATATTTTTATTAATATTTGTTTCAGAATAAAACCCTTCACGGGAAACAAGAATGATACTGGTAGCCAGTGTGGGACAAGTAGATGCTGTTGGAATAGATGCAAAGCACCCTTCTCTTGTTATAAAGTATTCAGAGATAATTTCTCCAAGCTTTCTTTTTTTTTTTCTTTTTTTCTTATTTTCTTTGTTTTGGTTATTGTTTTGGTTTTTGATCCAAAGGTTGCTGTAAGTATAATTTTTCATTTTTACCTTTTTTTAAGTGGGAAGATGATAAGATAGATAAGATAAGATAAGATAAGATAAGATAAGATAAGATAAGATAAGATAAGATAAGATAAGATAAGATAGTGGGATAAGATAAAGATAGTGGGGACCACATGTACATATTAAAACATGATACAGAATTACGTAAAATAATCTCTGTTGATTTTACTTCAAAATGTAGTTCTCCTCTCCTCAGTGAAAATAAAAATAAGAATTATGGGTCTACACATGCACTGTGCCCTCTGAGCAGGGCTCACGAAAGGACATGAGGCAGACTGTTACGTCCTCAGAAGGCTGGGCTGTGTGAAGTCATGCTCAGACAAAGGTCTCCTTTTGCCAGTCCCAGTATTCAAAGCTGCTTGGGCCTGTTGCCTGCTCAGCAGAAGGCAGCTCTCTCCTGGGCCTGCTGCGGCCCAGCTCTCCATCCGTCACTCCTCAGCGGTGTGGCCACAGCCTGGCAGGAGCGAGTTCAGCTAACCACTGCACTGACAGTCACTCTAAGTGACTCCTCTGCTTGCACCACTGCTTCCCCAGGGTTCAGAAGACTGTGCATGAGAAATAGTGTGCTTGTAAAACAAGTCCTGAAAAAGACAGTATTGTTCCTGCAGAGGTGATTCCAGAGGGGATTCCAGAGTGGAAATTCACTTGAAAATTTGCTGCTAACATCAAGCTATGAAGTCTGTTCCACTCCTGGGAGCAAGGGGATGCCAGCCAGAGGAATCTGGGCAGGCTTGACAGCTAGGCCTGTGTGAAACTCATGAAGTTCAACAAAGCCAAGTGCAAGGCCCTGCACCTGGGTCAGCACAATCTCAAATGCGAGCAGAGGCTGGGTGGAGGATGGATAGAGAGCAGCCCTGAAAAGAAGGACTTGGGGACATTTATAGACAAGAAGCTCAGCATGCCCTGACAATGAGCACTTGCAGCTGAAAAGGCAGCTACATCCTGAGCTGCATCAAAAGCAGCATGGCACACCGGGGGGGTGATTCTGCTTCACCACTCTCACGAGGCTATGAGCACTCTCCCTGGAGTGCTGTGCCCATCTCTGGGGGCCATTCTAATGAACAGCTGGAGCAAGCTCAGAGGATGGCCACAGGGATGATCAGAGGAATGGAGCACGTCTGCTGCAAGGATAGGATGAGAGAGTTGAGATTGTTTCACCTAGAGAAGAGAAGGCTCTGGGGAGACCTTATAACACCTTCCAGTACATGAAGGGAGCCTACCAGAGCGCTGGTAGCGGGACTTTCAAATGGGGCAGGCAGTGACAGGACAAGGGGGAGTGGCTTTAAACTGAAGAAAGGCAGGTTTAGATTAGATATTAGGAAGAAATTCTTTATGTGAGGGTGTAGCACTGGAATAGGTTGCCTAGAGAAGTAGCGGGTGTTGTGTCCCTGCAAGTGCTCCACACCAGGCAGAATGGGACTCTGAACAACGTGGTCTAGTGAAAGGTGTCCCTGCCCATGGCAGAGCAGTTGGAACTCGATGATCTTCAATGTCCAGGGTAGAAATCTGTTCCATTTCCTTCCAACCTGTATCCTGCAGGAACTGTCCTGCAGAGTCATCTCTGGTCAACAAATACTACTTTTCATTGTGCCATAAGACTGGACAAATTTGCCATGAAAAATGACAAAAACTTTACTAGCTCAGTATCTCTTCCACAGCTCAAGGCTGGAAGTGGAAGAGTTGCTCTCTCTTCCTTGATGGTTCTGTGATTGTCTGAGCATATTGGGATTCTCTATAGCTAGTAAATCCATCAGCAAAATGACAGTAATGCAATTGTGATTGTGATTTTTCAAATCAAACCTAAACTTCAATATGCTATAGGTCCTACTTGTTAGTCAGAAGTAAGAATGGTTTGAAAGATCCTAATTTCACATTACTCTTAAATACATTTTAAATACCTATTAAAAACCCCTGCAATGCTAATAGAAACAATATGTCACCTGTGTATCACATGCAATATCACAGGACTGTGGATTTAACAACAACTTATTAAGTATTTGTCATACATGAGATTTAGTAATGACAATGTGCACACAGTTTTCAACAACGATGATCTGGAGGGGGTTAATGCACCTGCTTGTAAAACAAGGCATTACTTGACCAATTCCAGTACCAATCATCTGAAAGAACAGCCAGTTCAAGAGCAGAGGTGTTCTGCAAGTGCAGGAACAGTGCACATGCTGTGGTTTGCAGACGCATTGCCAACGTCTGTCTGACGTCGCAAGGAAGCATGAAATTCTCTCTGGGGCACACTGACCTAAGCGAGATTTGTGGATCAATACCACTGATACTAGCAATATTTCTGTTCAGCCCTAATTTGACAGTAGAAATAAATTATTCTGTCTTTACAGTCAAGCCTATATTCTCATCTCAATGCACAGGCATTTACAAGCCTAATCTAAAATCTGCTGAAGTGAGAGGAAATTGTTCCTTTTAATGAAATGTGTTTCAGGTCAGTCCTATTATTTATTAACAATGCTTACATTGTTAGGCATCAGCTTTTCTACTTCAGAATGAAAATAAACCCCAAATTACTGGTGAACTCTTTTAAAGATGTTTGTATAACTCCTAAAATGTTGCTCTAAGCATGGAATGAAGACTAGACTGTGTACAGATGTGACACAACCCTCTCAATATTTTCATGAAGTCTTAGTGATTATCAGTGAAGTTAAGTGACATTATTTGCTGGGTCTGAGACATTTTTAAATGCTACATTCATAAAGCACAACAAAAACATAGTGACTGGGAGGTTTCTGCCTTTTTCTTCTAGTATACAAGTTACAATGGTGAGGAAAAAGAAAGCAACAAACGTCAAAGTCTCACTGCGCTGTACATTGAAGTGTTTAAGGGCAGTCACCTTCTAGAAAGTAAGTTTCTGAACTTAATGCCCATCAGGCAAGTAAAATATCACAGCATATATACCTCTAAGCTTTCCAAGAGCAGCAGAGTTTGCACCCTATACTGTAAGTCCTAGCAGTTTAGCAGTGGCTTTTAGGGTCTGCTTTCTTCACTTTATACAGAATCTTAACTCGTATATAGTTTCCTGTTTAGTGTGCACTTTGTTCATTTTTCTGAACAGGACTTCTTCATCAGGCATAGCTTAAAGCAGACCAGATTTAGACATTCAAATGAGTACTGTTTAAGCTCTTTGAGTGACACTTTCTTTTTAAAATAACTTACCCAGCTTTCACATAAACGGTAAATACATTTTTTGGACACTGCTCAATGTAAAAGGTGGACCTTATATAAAATTCATCACTAACACCAGCCATTTTTTGAAATTAACCAAATATGTCTAAGAATGAGATGTCTCCAATAAAAACATTTTGCCAAGATCAGGTGCTGTGAGAGTACCTATGTGATAATGTCTGGCAATAGACAAAGCTTTCATTTTTCATTTAAAAATCACTAATTACTACTAATACACAGTTGCTTTTGACAAGGCAATTGCTTCTTGTCTTTGTTGAAAAAAATCCAGAAAATTTCCTGTCATTTTTTCTCCTTTTATCACTGTCTCTCCCCTTATCAACATATCATATTGGTGTCCATGAAGTAATCCCACCTTTGGAATGGCAGTGATCAGGGTGAGGAGGGAATCGGTAAGATCAGCCCAGTACTGGGATATTTCAGGCTTACTTCTAAGAACCACATTAAGATCTGGAGGTAGTCAAACCTCTGGTGAGCTCACTGGCTGCAGGAGCCTGAGGAACACACCCTGCTGACACTACTGACCTGCATCTTAGTTTATCACCATCTGCTTTATGTGAGTTTCCAGCCTACCTTCTGTCGCCTCCTCCGCTTCAGCCTTCAGAGTAATGCTACCCCCAATACCCTTTCTGTCTTTCTTTCCCAATTAATCCTGGACCTTTTCTCACCATCCTCCACACCTCTACAAAACTCTCACTTGAGCCAACATGGCACAATCCTACTGTTTTATTCCACTCTCTCCTTGACAGGGACTCAGAACTGACACCGTTTTATTGAAATGCCAGAAAGAGCTCCAGCTTAAAATGAGTGGTCACAGGATCCTCTTTGTGTTGCCTTAACCAAGCTCAGGCTTGCCTGAGCTTGCTATGACAGTCTGAATGGTGGCTCTCCTGGGACGACAAGCACATAGCAGGCTGGAGCACAAAACACATGCCTTGGTGGTGTTGAATCATAAATAAACCAACAGCAGGCACCTTCTCTGAGCATAAAAAGCAGAAGCTTCATGGTAATTCATTTAACTCCTCTTTTCAGCTGCAAACTCTATTACACTCCTGAAACCTGTCTTAATTCAGAGAGTATTGCTCTTCAGCTGAGCTCAAAAATGAGTCTGGCAACAGAGTCCCCTGAGGCAGAAATCTCCAGAGCAGGCACAACATGAAAACATTGCCTGCCTGCTTTAAGATTTATTTCCCCCAGCACTCACTGGCATTCAGCACCACTGGCATTTGTGCCTTCAGCCTGAGACAGGCAGGAAGACAGCCATAGCACCAGTGTATGAAGTGCTTGGAAAATGGTTTGAAAAAGCCAAGTAGAAAAATCAGCATCCTACTCCTGTGCTGACATAAACAATTTTTAGCCTGCTTGTTTTGGGGGCCCTGAAACACTGCACGTCACTGTCATGGTGATCCTAGTGTGGATAACAGTAAAGAGCAGGGCAGATGCAGGAAAATGTACACAAACCTAGCATCAAATTTCTAAGAGCAAAGGTAAAAGGCAGTGAGAGAAAAGTGGTAATGCACAGGTCCGGCATAGGAATCTTCCTTTCACTATCAAAACCACTGATCTGACATATTGAGGATGAAAAACACAAGGGAAGAATTTTGCCACTACTATCAAGTTTCCATATACCTGTGTTTCATGAGAAGCTACTCACAAGCACAGCACTTACTGACACAGTCAGGTAGCTGCTAGTCTGCTCCGAGCAGAGTAGGTAGGTGTAGCATACTCAGACTGGACATGGCTGATACAAAGACCTAGCTTGGGACTCCCCTCCCATTTTGCAAACATGAGGATCTCTACATGATCAACTTTGCTTAATTTGTGCATTAAAGATTTGGCAAACAATGGCACAGGATATATCAATCTTTAGCATGTTTCAGTTGTTGAAATTTTTATACATTTTCCATGCACATCATCTTGGATTTAGGCTCTGGCTGTCCTGGCAAATGATAAAACAATGACTTTCACGTATTGCAGTGAGAAATGCATTTATTTCATACATGGGTTCATAATTAACTTTAAAAAGACAGCTAGCACTATCATATCTAACAAAACTTCTTTATCCCCTTAGAAGTACTGCTCTGTGTATTACTAAGTGCATGCTCCATCTGAAGGAGTTGATTTTCTTCCAGGCTCTGGGTGATTATCTATCTGAGCAGAAACTACAATTGCTGATGATGTGAAGGAGAGCTGTGCATGTAGCATTCATCAGTGAAGACTACCTGTCCCTTCCTGGCATACCTCTTCCTCTCTCTATCTCCTGATGCTGTATTCAATAGTTTTCTGGAAATTGTGAAAGAGGGGATTAGCTCTGCTTCACGAACTCTGGTAGCTCCATTCCTGTGCACAGGGTAAGGACTCCTGCCTTCTCCAGGGCAAAGGCTGGGTGAGCAGCATCAGTGAATTTGTGCCTGATGGCAAACAGCACCAGTCCTCTCTCTGCATTGAAGAACAACAGCCTTCCACTACTATAATCCAACAGGATGCCAATCCTGGCCAGGTGCTCCGTCACATGGACATCACTCATCACACCAGTGTGAAGAAATCTGTAAAGAAAGCTGCGGGAAAATGGAAACCAGAATACAATGAGCCTCCCCATAGCAATTTACCAGAAATAACCTGCAGCTCAATTCCAATCTATTAACAGGTGGCTGCATACAGCAGCCTATCACGTGGCTGCAGCATTTTGCTCAGTACATAGGCAAAGCAAATGTGGCATCTCTTCAAGCCCTGCCTGGCATCCTGAGAAGCCTTTTCACTTGGTATCTTTGGACTCGTAGAAAAAAAACTCTTGGATGTTTCATTTAGCTAGTAATGTTCATACATCTGTATGATTTCACACTGAAAAAAGCACACTTGTTTAGATCAAGAGCACCTTTACAAAGTAGCAGGGGGGTGCCTTACAAATCTCCAAGCAGCCTGGCACTGGCCTGCTACCAAAGACTCTCCCAGCACCCTGCAGTCCTGCCACAGTGGCGGGGGAAGTCTATCACTGTGAAGGACAAGGCTGGAGAAAACATTCCCTATCAAGTCTTGACATCTCCTACAAATGGAATTGGTTCTAAAAAAGGCTGCATTTATTGAAATAAATACCTTTGCTGGTGTTTAGTGAAGCAAATCAGGATATGAGCAGCAACAAACTAGTTCTTTAAGTTTTATTCACTCTCTGGATAAAGGGTGCTAAAATAATCTATTCTGAGTTTAATTTTATTTTTTAAGGTGCTTTATACTTTTTAAACTAAGAGGAGGTCTAAAGGTTTTATGGAGATAGCCTTTTCTTATTATTCAAATTTACATAAAGGAAGCTGAAGAATCCTTTCTGCTTTCAGGGTTCTTGTGTCTGGTCAGCTTTATTTTCATGAAAGACAGGTAACTTCCTGAGCCACCAGGAAGTTACCTGTCCTCTTTACCTGGTTTGTGTGGGACAGCACCTCATGCACCAGGAGGTATCACTCAACCCCAGAACACTGCTCTGTGTTATTGCCTCATAGCAAATCCCAATCCTGTAGCTTCTGCAGGCAGAGACAACAATTTCCCAGTAATGACATCCTTGAGCAGGCAGCAGTTCACCCAGGACTGAAGGAAACCTGTTTGTGCAAGAGGCAATATAGTAAAGAGAGTGTGGTGGTAGACAAACCATATTGTGATATTTCCTTCAGTCAAATCATGAAGCATCACAAAAAATTGCACTCTGTTGTTCTAACTGGAGAGTTTTATGAAAGATTTCACTCAGTGTCTTTTCATCTTTGCACTGAGATGGATTTATCTAAAAGACCTCAAATTTAGAAGTCTTGTTCAAACTAGAAAGTCTGGGGTTTCATACAGACATAGTCACAAACGTCTTGTGTACATTCAGTGGCAACAGCAACAAAAAGTGCTTAAACCAGTAAATCCTCATCACCTTTTAAGAAGCCATATCAGTGTGGCACAAGTTATACAAGGGGACCTGTGCTTGTCCTAGGACTGATATCAATATGTCCACCCCCTGCAATGTTCTCAATGGATAGAGCTAGCCTGGTACAATCATGTGAACATATCCCAGGAGTACTTCCTAGTTCTCCAAAGCCAAAAATACTTTGGAAAACACTACCAATAATACCTTCAGCAGAGAAGCAGACTATGGAAGATGGATTACTTCTATCCACAATGTATTAAAAACAAAGCCCACAAAGCTGATGTTCTCAGTGCAGCAAAAAACTGCTTTGAGACTCTGATGGATTAAGAGGTGACCATGGGCTGAAACAAATCGAGCAGTCAAAGGTACCACTACCTTTCACCTCCTGGCCATTCCTGTGACACCCAGTTCTTCCTTTACATCAATCCCACCACTGACTTAGTACTGAGATTTTGCAGTGTTTGAAAGGGAGGCTCAATTGCATGAAGTCCAGAGGCTGCATGACCAAAATGATTCAGTTCTACAAAATTTGTGTTGTGTTAAAGATGCCTATTGGCAAAAAAAAATTAAAGTGAGGGATCCACCCTGAACCCCACAAGATGGTTTTGCTTATCATACTGCTACTCACCCAGTGAGTTTGGTTTTTTCAGGAAGGTGGATCACTGTTGCATTAGAAGAGATTTGCAATGCAGGATGCGCTGTGTCACTCAGCAGGCGAAATCGAGTTCCTGGTACAATTCATAACAAAGAAACACCAGATCTGAGAGGTTGGCTACATTAACATGAGATGATCATAAAATGTTAAGCAACAATTATGGCCATCTCAGCTGGACAGGGTTGTATCTGCTGGCAGGTAGGAGTGACAGAAAATTGGATGCAAATACAAGGAGTCTTCCAAACTGAGACAGAAGTCTAATATTCAGAAATGCAGATAGGTGATAAAGAGATCTTTTAGAGCATGTAAGAAGTTTGAATAATTTTCAATCAATTGCTTTTTTCAAAACACCAAATTTCAATTTTCAGGCTGATTTGGAAGAACCATACATAACACTATTTATCTAGAAATCTTATAGTTTTAAAACTGCTTTGCATGCTTCCTCATCACTCACTCAAACTCCATTAGGTTTTAATTGTGAGAGGTTTTCTTTAGAGTCATGACAACTTTTATCTAAATGTGCTCTGTCAGATTCAAGCAAACTGAGATCCCTGAAGAATACTTAATCACTTCATCTCTTTGACAGAATTCAACATTTTTGCTTGAGGTCACACTAGTTTTACACAGGACATAAATATACAAGCTTCAAGTGAAGTCCTGATTATGCTAATTTTAAGCAGAAAAAAAAAGGGATATAAATTTGATTTAACAAGATAAAAATTTCAGTAACTTGGTCACAACCATATTGGGAAGTTCAGGTATAATTTCGAAAGAAAAATGTTTGGCTACTTTGCCCTTTCCACCCCATTGTTTTGACATCAGGAAATTATGATCTACCTTTAGTTGAGATGAGAGCTGCTTCACTTTGTTCACTTGTCCCAAATGGGTTGACAGCCCTCAGGTAGAAGAAATAGTTCACATTGGGCTCCAGGGATACTTTCAATTCAGGTTTCTTTATACCAGCGAAAGACCTGCAAATGTTGAAGACACATTAAAATGTAAGCAAATATCCAAACTAGGGAAGACTGTTTTATGCCAACAGTTAAGTTCCCTAACTGTATTGTTTATAACTGAAATAACAAAAACCATACAGAAACTCCAAACGAGAAAGACAAACACTGTTTTCACAAACAAC